CCTGAAAGGCCTCAGAGCAGTCGAATTCCTGACGTCCAGTTGCCCTCAAAATGAACAACGATTTCTCACATGCCCGCGTTGTCCACGTCATTTTCGGTACAAGGGGCTGGATGTCAGACTGCTCCAAGTGAGTCCCGCATGGTACTCAAGTACCAGGTTTATTTCTAGGGGGACCTTTTTGCAGGATCGCCTCCGCGCCTTTTCTGGGGCTGTTGAAAAGGGGCCTTTGGCGTGAGGTGATCTTACCCCTTGATTCCCTCAACAAGTGGGGGAAATCTGCTGAAACCAGGAATCCGCTGACACGCTTCACGGGGCGACTGTGACTCGAAATGTTTGCGTTAAACCACAATTTCAGGTACCCAATTGGTGGTTTGGATTAGTGGTGTGGCTTTGGATTTGAGCCCCTGGCCTTGTAAAGGGTGTGTGGGGAAACCAGCCTGAACCACCACACCACCAATCCTAGCCCACCAAGAGGTAAGCTGATCCGCTTTGCATGGCAGTTCTTGGCTGACAATGTGCCAGGGACACCAGAGGCCGGGCAGCCCCCCCCTTGCGGCGGATTTTGGTGGACGCGAATTGCGGTTGCGAAGTTGTGAAGCATTGCGCTGCGCAGCCGCACGAATCAAATTTCAAGAAATGCTTGCAACCAGCCGGTGAAAAATGCAGCGTGTGCAAAGACCATGGCTCTTGCTGTGCTTTGTCTAACAGCCATGAAGGTTCGTGGCCGGCAGTGCTTGTTGCTTTTGTCAGAGGCTCAAAGTGAGCGGTTTGGATTAGCAGATTGCACACCAAGCAGAATGAGCGCTTTGGCGCAACCAGATCCACCCCTACCAACCCCCCCCCCCACCCCTTCCTCCCCCGCCTGCGCGTGCACGCGCATCATGCTTTGCCCCTTGCAAGGCGCTGGAGGCGGGACGATTGATTGAAAGTATTGTGGATGGTTGCGAAATCCATCTCGCACCACTCGCAAACTCTGGAATGATTCGATTCTCCAACGTAAATATCAGTGGCTGAAACATCGCTGCAGGCACTCAGACATGAGCGACCCACCGGACAGGCGCGGGAGGAGTGGAGGAATTTTCGCGTGCCTCTTGTCAATCTGAGATTCGTTGGCTTTTGCATTTTTGCGATCAGCAGTGCAAGCCAATTGGTATGTGTAAGCATGCGGGATTATTAAGTTGAAATGGGTGCGTCTTTTGTAGGGGACTCAGAAAATGGATGTTGGTTTTCATGTTCTTCTTTCCCTTCAAGAACCAAAAAGGGGTACCCTCAAAAAAGACACACCCAAATCTACTTGCAAAGCTGGGTTTGGGTATTTGTGCGAGCCAAGCACCGCCAGAGCTCCATTCCATGCTGTGAGCCTCTCGCTGCTCAAGTGCTGGAGTCTGCCTCGATCAGATGGATCCATGGAAATTGCAACAAGGATGGCAAGAGCTCACGGAAGGATTTGCATGGGCACAACATGTAGCTTTGAAATGGGGCCCAACAAAATTAAAAATTGCAACCTTCTCCGTGACTTGGAAGGCAGTCAACTTTGTCGCCTCTTCTCAGAGACGGCAAGCGCCCTAGCAAGGAGCACGACCTTGCTTCACAATTCACTTGGATGGCAAGTGTTGCTTGCCCCGAATTGAGGGACTCCTATGGGCATGGGCAAAAAATAACGACGACCAGGACATGGACCGCAGGCTTGGGTCTTTGTTTCCGCCCACCGGCGCAAGCCATTTTTTTGGGGTTGCCCTATCTTCGACCCATTCCTTGCCATGAGTGCGACCCCGAGCCGTTGGATGTGTTTCATGCTTCAGTTGCCAACAGGTTTTAGCCCATGTTTCCATTCGCCAGGGCAAGCCAATTTGTAAAGGGTTATTCTTTGTTCTTTGGATTCCTTGCCATTGGAACCCATATCCAAAAGAGAAAGCACCGCGCGCTCCATGCCTCGGGGCCTTCGGGGAAGCCATGGGATCGTCTCGCTCTTCGCGTGGCTGCCATGCAGAGGCACGGGGGGATGGTGGAGCGCGGTGGTGGAGGGGGCGGGGGGCCGGGGCGGGGGGTGGGGGGTGTAGTGCGCGAAAGTTGCTGTTTTTTGTTTTTGTTTTTTGTCACCCTTTTAGGGCCAAAAGGCGGGTGTTGGGGTGTGTGGGGGTGGGGGCTATGCTACACGACCGGAATTCCATCGGTTCATTGTCTCATTAATACAGCTTCTCCCCCTAGGAACATCAAACCAGAAGTAGCACATTTCCCAACATGTTCAGAAACTAGAAAAGGAACTGATGGAACCCCCGCCAAACGTCGGCCCATTCCACCCCAAAGTCAGCAAAGTGGTTGACCATGTTTAGGGCTAATCATTATGGCTTTTTGAAGGTTTAATATTTGGACTTTTTTTGGTTGAAACAGCTCGGATTGTCCATTGGACCCACAACCAGTTTCAACACCTTTTGCAGAGGAAGTTATTTACTTTAGAGGAAGTTGGTCCAAGCCTCCACAGATGGATTCCATGGAAACGTAGGTAAGAGGGTACCCTTTGTCCAAATTATACTGGAAGCTGACAAAAGGTTAGGGAAGACTAATTGGCCCCTGTCCACTTTGATTTTTGCCAAGAGGTTAATCATTGGCAACTCAATTTGCCCTGTGTGGGTTCTCACTAAAAATGGGGAACCCGCAAAGCAGTGCCTTTTCCTATCAGGGTCAGTGGTTGTAGCTGATTAGCAACACGCATTGTGTTCAGTCTCCAAAAGCTTTGGTGCTGCCCAGGGTTGATATGAGAAGCGCCCAACACCCCCCATCGATCACTGGATTTGGGTGGTTGATAAAGATTTGCAATCATCTAAGAATCAAAATTCAGCTCGGGTCTTGGGCGCTAATTATAGAAATCGGTGAAGAAAACGTGGTTAAAAGCATGTAACAGGAAGAGTCTTCGGCGAACGAGGGTACCCTCACGGCGATTCCATTGAAGTTACCAGGTACCAACGGGAACATCGTGAGCTTACATGGAATCGCTTGAGAGTACTTACCCCTCAGTTCACGTTGCTTGGGGCTAGAGGTTTAAACAAGTGGCTCAAACAATGGCAACCGTAGCCCCCATCCTGAGTAAAATATGAACCCGGTTCCGCTCAAGGATGTTCCCGGTGGTTTCTTCGGGGGGGGCCTTGCAACTGCCCCACATGGAAGCAGCAACGACATCAAATGAGCAGGTGTCGGTCAATATAAAGTAAAGGCGATGCCACGGAACACTGACAACGAGGAAGTATCATTATGGCTGAGGGGATGCCATGCCCCACTCACCAAACTACCGTTTGGACATGGACATGGTGTCACCAAAAATCAAAGGTCAGGGGACACAAAAGTATTGCTGGCTCATTACACGTGTTTCTTGCTCCCCGAGTTTAGGGGCCCCAAACAGGGAGAGTCTACAAGAAGCTACCCAATGGTCCTTTTGGTTTCCCCTTCACCAACCGCAAACGAGGTGTTCCACACACAGCACCACCTTTTTGGTTCCTGCAAGACCAAGTCAAATGGCCTTCCCAAACGCATACACACACAAATAACCTGGTAGGTAGGCCAGTAGAATAGTTGGTAGGTTGTTAGGTTGTTAGGTTGGTAGGTTGGTAGGTTGGTAGGTTGGTCCGTTGGCTACACAGAAAACCTGGTCGGCAAGTAGGTTGGTACGTCTTCCCCCATCCGCCCACCCACCCACCCCACCCCACCCCACCCCACCCCACCCCACCCCACCCCACCCCACCCCACCCCACCCCACCCCACCCCACCCCACCCCACCCCACCCCACCCCACCCCACCCCACCCCACCCCACCCCACCCCACCCCCCACCCCACCCCACCCCACCCCACCCCACCCCACCCCACCCCACCCCACCCCACCCCACCCCACCCCACCCCACCCCACCCCACCCCACCCCACCCCACCCCACGCCACCCACCCCACCCACTTAGGCGCCCACTTCGTGGAGCTCCGGGGCCTGCGCTGTGTGGAGCTGCCACAGCACCCGCTGGGAGAGGCCGGCGGCACCTGGAGCGACGGCTTGGAGCAGGCGGCCAGGCAGGGCGGGGAGGCTGGGGGGCTGGGAGCCTGGGGCGAGGTGTGGCTTGTGGGGAGGGGGTGGCTTGGTTTGGGGGGGGGGTTAGATTGGCACGAAAAACGGCGGGATTGGTTAGGATGACGTTGAGCGCTTTGAGTTTGGTGGCTGGTTATTGTTTTTCGTGTTGTTTGTTGATGGTGTCCTTTCTTCCTCTTGTTTTTTTCCTGTTGTTTCCACAACTGCTAAACACTATAGGGTCTCTGCCCAGACGGGCTCTGATTTGAGGGAGAGTCTTGGGCTGTTGGGGATATCACCTGGGCTTCCTTGTTTCTATTTTTTCCCCCGGGCACGAGGGAGAATTACAAGATTTAGCATCACTTGGATGTGTTCAAACCTTGGTCTCCATCAGCTGCGCATTATTTGCTTTTGGATCATATGTCCGAACTTGTAGCAGAGATGTGCCTTTCAGCCCAAGCCTTCCCCCTTGGATTTGTGTTTGGTTGTTGTTTGGTCTTCTCTTGTGTTTGGAGGGAGGGCAGGCTCTAACAAGATCCCCAGGAAAGACCCCCAAACAAACGACAGAGTGGATGGATAGCTTCTCACTTCCCAAGTGTTTGGATTTCATACTTTTCGGGAAGGTTATTTTATTGGCTTTCTGGACCAATCGTGTGTTTTAGAGGGCTGGGGACAACGCCGGCGCAGGCTGGGTTGCTCCCCCCAACCACTAGGTTCACCGAATATGGTTGCCAGAATCTGAAAATGTCATCTGATGTTGGAGCAAAGGCTGTAGGGGCATGAGCTTAGGTCCAGTTTGGATGTTTTCATTGGAGACTCGTTCTGCAGAATGGCGAAGGCGAAGGGTCCTCCACTTTGGTGCTCTCCACTCCCACCATGGGTTACACAGGTTTGCCAGGCTCGTGGCCACCCGAAAAATTGTCCCAAAGCCAAGACCTGGATTTGGGTAGTTGATGTTTGTGTGGAACCTGCATATGTTGCGCATGCAAATCGTGTGAAGACAGGCCCCAACCGAGAAAAGCGCTTGGTTCTTTTCACTGGACGGACTTCTTGGATGCAGGTTTGATTTTGCTGGACAGAGTCGGTCCTACCTTTTTGAAATATGTGCTTTTGCCCCAAGCGCCTTGAGTTCTCAAAAGGGCCCTTTTGGAGGTCCACAACCTTCCAATGGAGGGCGTGATCCCGTTGATTCAGGTAGACAATGATTGGCTGGTGTGCTTAGTCCTACAGAGAAGTGTTGTGCCGCAAGATGCCTATGGCTCGCCAGCCAGGCGGCCACTCAAAGACACATGACATGAGCATTTCTAGGCTTGACACCAACGCTTCAAACGCGACATAGGTGATTTTCGAAATGCCGCCCGCCATGACGTTTGTTCGGCGGATACTGCCCGCCGCAAAGGACCCCGCTGATGACGACCCGGATGCGGGCCGGATAAGGGAAAGGTTGTGCAGCGATGTGCTGAACACCAGCGTGATGAGCGCCATCATAGGCGGTTTTGCTTTGAGCAATCTGCAGCAGGGTGGCTACGAGTTCGAAGAAGGGCTCCATCTGGCCATCTACCTCTTTTCCTTTGGCGCGGTGCATGCATGTACCTGCTCCGCGCTGACCAGCGCCTTTGTCTACCGCCACGTGAACAATCTGCCGGAAGCTAAGCTGCTTGCCTGGTCGGTGAAGTACTGGTGGCTTCCCTATCTGCCGCTGGGGAAGTTCGCGATGGGCTGCGTCAGCTACATGATCAGCGTGATTTTAATCTCCTATCGGGACCTGGAGATGTTTGCCAGCTGGCAAATCGCCGCGCTGGTCTTCGGCATTATGAGCATGAGCATGGTTTTCCTGACAGTCATTACCCTGCAGCGAAGCTGAACAAGGAGTTGGTTTTTCCTGGAACCATGGCAGTCAGTCGATGAATATTAAATATTTGTCTATGACAGTAAACCAGCGTGCAGAACGAAAGAAGTGAGAGTTTCGGCTGTGAGGAGATGAAAGCAAGGGTAGCACCCGCCTTGGTCCATATCGTAAATCACGGCGGTACGGCTGTCCCTGGCGGTATGCACGAAGACATATCAGGATAATATATTCAAGTATCCCGCCCGTAATCCAGGGAATTGAAGGGACGTGTGTATGTACAGCTTACGATTTGTTGTTCCCCTTCCCCCCCCCCCCCCCAGAACGAATGTAAGGACCACCCCCCCACCCCGGGTGGCGTGTTCGCCTTGTTTGGGGGGGGAATGAAAAAGTAACTTTAATACATATATATATATATACATATATATATATATATAAGATGCATCAACGAATCTTCTGTTTCCCTTCCCCTGCCCTGTTTTATGCCCAGTGATGAAAGAACAAACATGAGTTCCCAGGAGTATGTGAGGTCTTCACAAATTTATGGTTCCGTTTTGCCTCCCATCCTGGGTCAATTCTGTGCCCAGAGATTTGGCGAGTCTTTTTCTAAATGAACATCTTTCCGCTCCATCTCATTCCACTAATACCTCTCTTTGATCGCGGTGGGCATATATGAGTGGTGTCCCTGGGAGGGACATGGGGGAAGGTTTGTAATAGCTCCCATTTGGTGGTTGGCCGCCAGGGATGCCTGTGATGACACGCCCGGGTGTGCCGGCTTCATGCGGTACGTGGGTTCCTGGACTGCACAGCGGGTTTGGTAAGAATCTCGACAAGGCGGTTGGCCTTTTGGTCCCGATTCCGAGCCGCAAATTTGCGACCGTGCATGGTCGACGTTTGGATGAACCGTTTGACCGGGACCTTCCGAAGTATCACAGGGCCCGGAAGGCCTTATATTCAGGGCATAGCAAACGGGCCTCCCTCGCCCCCAGGCCCGCGGGAATGTGGTTGAATGAACCCAGGGTTTGGTCCCCCAAGGAAACCACCAATGGTTTTTCTTGGTCAATCCATTTCTCATTCCCTACTGAGTACCAGCAAGGTAGACGGGAGTGCTTCCTCCAGCTCTCAATGATGTATTTTGCAGCTGTTTCTATGGGGCCTTGCATGGAAGGCCTGGAAACTGTCCTTGCAAGGAATGGTTTGCTATGTTTTTTAATTCCCACTTATGAACTTATTCTATTTAGTGGTTCTACCAACTTTTGGAATTATTCTGGGGTTGGAAAACCCATCTCATCAAAGGGTCACTGCCCTCGGGTCCCAAGCTGCGAAGGGCCGATTCGTCGCATTGAGGGGACAATGAGCAGCACTGCTTCGACTGGTGTGGCCGCCCCCAGTTTTGCATGGCCGCTGAACAGGACGCGCTTTTTTTCTTCTTCTTTTTGCGTGTTCGGCCCTTGAAGGGGCCGGGATGGGCGAGTTCGTGTGTGGCTTTCTTGAGTTTCGCCGGTCTTTACCCAAAGTCGCGAAAAAATAAGAAGACAAAAATCGGCTTCCCGTACTGTTAGATGTTCCGCGCCTCGGAACACGCGGGGCGAAACTCGGAGATTGCTTGGCAGAAATCACGCAGGAACCGCCGCTGCATGGGAATGCGGCCTGGACTAGCTATGTGAAGTCGGAGTACCTAGATGCAGCTCGGATTCTCAACCTAGGATGAATTGGGGGGCTTGTCGTCTTTGAGGCTCGCCCCGCTTTTTTTTGGAAGGAACACCAGAAGGAACACGGTTGCGCCAGTTTGTGGGTCCGATTCCTCAAAACAAGACGAGTCCATGTTGACTTCGGATTGGCAAACCCTCTCTGGTTGATTTTATCGGGAGTGTACGCCCCGTATTAGGACGGGTTTATTTGGACTCCATCACTTTGGCTCTACTCTACCACCGACATCCTTGTTTCCCACACCTTGGCCTTCAGAGCAAGCTTGGCTGGTGTGTGAGCTGGAATTAAGGCAAAGGGCCGCACAAGATTTGAGACGTTGCATGGCTAAGTGGTAAAGTTGAATACCCTCCTTAGGTGTTCACCAGGAAGATTGAAGGCCGCAGCTGGTTGCTTTGCGAGGCAACGTTTAGAGAGATTCTGATTGGATTTGGGCTGACCAATATATCTGTCGATATTTGCTGTGTAACATTCATGTGCGCAGCTGAAGCATGTCTTTGATGCTCGCAATTCGCTTGTGTGCCTAAAAACTCTGCCACGCGCATCGGCGTTTGGTTGCCACGCCTTGTTCCAATGAGCTGCTTGAGTGTTGAGATGAGGAACAAACTCTATGTTCGGTTGGAACAGAATTAGCGAATCCCTCGGATCTTTTGGGTTCTTGGGAGGGGTGAGATTGTTTTGCTTTGCTTTGGTCGCCCTCAGGTTCAGTTCCAGTGTTTGAGCTACACCCGATTCCAGACCCATGAATCATCGCCGGCTGGGTGCACTTCCCAAAATTGACCTCGGATCCTGGCAGGGCTCCGATTCCAAGGAGATTCCTCTATACATTATGATGATAATTGTTTGGGTCCCGCGTCAATCTGAGTGTAGTGAACCCCCCCGTAACGTGGAACCTGAATGAAAGATTGGAAACCTTTGGCAGCCCGCTTTCCTTTTAAAGGGACAAGCCTGGTTCCACTAATATGGTTGGCCCACGAGCTCAACCACCTGGTTTGCCTGGGAATTCGGTAATGTGAACGGGCCAGTTGAATGAGACTGTGTGTATTTCTGTTGTTGTTTGTTCTGGGGGGACCCTCTTTTAGTCAGGCAACCCTTAGGTGGTGGTTTGGATTGGAGGTTTCGGGATTGTACCCCTGGTTCTTGTAGAAGGTTGATGGGAAACCCCTCCTTAGCCACCAATCCACAAATCCAAACCCCCAATCAAAACCACACATTAAACCGAAGATGATTTCGGTTTCTTTTTAGAGCACACCGGGACCTCCTTGTTGGTTTCGGGGACTTCTGTGTCAAAAACGGGGACCCCAAAGAGTGGGTGGTTTCCGTTGGGTTTCCCTTCAAAAAGAAAGGAACCCCGGTTGTGTCACTGTGTCGTGTTTTAGTGGACCCCCCCCAAAAAAAAAGAAGAAAATGTGGTGTGTGGGTGTGTGTTATGTTCCTATTAAAACCAACCGAAAAAGGTCCCCCCCAGAAAGAAAAGAAAACGAAGAAGAAGAAGAAGAAGAAAAAGGTTCCCCCCCCCCCCCCCCCACCCAAAAAAAAAAAAAGAAAAGAAGAAGAAGAAGCAAGGCAAGAAAAGAATCGGCCCCCCCCCCCTCAAACCCAAAAAGAAACCAAAAAGCCACATCAACAGCAAAATATGTGTGTTTCCATGTCGCCTTTCCCGTCATTTGAGGCGCTGGGCCTCCGCTCGCAGCTGGTTGACTGGTTTCCCCCACAGCCAAAGAAGCCCCTGGAGGGCGAGCTGGCGCGGGAGATCGACTGCCACTCGCGCTGGTTGGGGTCCCTGTGTCTTCTGTTCCTTGTTTTTTTCTTGACTGCTATTGGGTTGGATGTTTAGACTTTAACTTTTTGGGAAATCAAGGGGTTTTCCACCAAACCCCCAACAAAGTTCATTTTTTGGCAGGGGGGTCAACAGCAACCAAGTTTTGAGGCGTCTTTTCGGAAGCCATCCCATATATAGGGCTCCAAATTTCCACATGTTTGGGTATGGCATTTTTTCAGGGTAGCTCTGTGTGTTTTGTCAGGGTAGCTGTTCGTTTCTGGTCCTAAAAGGAAACCAAAAGGAAAGCCACCAAACTCATTTAGTGGTTTGAAAAGGAAGTGCCCCGGTTTTTGTTTTTTGTTTAGGACACCATCCCATTGTTTGGGCTCCGAATCCACACGTTTCAGGGTAGCCTTTTGTGTGGTCTTAAACGGAAATCGAGAGTAACAACCGGAAACCTCCACGTGCTTTTCCCCACAGTACCCAACATCGACTCCATAAACCTTTAGAAGACCCCTTGACACCAAAAGTCGTTGGGTTTTGAGCGATGCTCACTTGCGTCTTTTTTAAGAGTGTCCCAAAGTAGTTATTAGGATGTTACTAGGGATGGGTTCACCTTTAGTATAGGTGGTTTTGGAGTTTGCCGCTTGCCATTAAACAGTCACGAGGGCAATGTTGAGGCTCCATGTTTTTCCCCTCAAAGGAAGCTTTTCTTGGAGAGTTGTAGCTACAACCCGGATCTGGACACTTGAGCCAGAACCAAAGCCGGGTAATTGACGCTTGGGGGCAATTCGTACTGCCTTGGGCTACTCCAGAGGTGCCATTCCTTTGACAGTTTCTAGGGGTCAAAGTCCGAAACAGGCTGGTCATCTGGTGGCACACTTCTTGCAGTGAGTTATTTGCAAGCTCTGTCATGGTCCAGCAAGTCAGCTCGCTCGTTATTGCTTTGTAACATCGGAATTCCAGCTTGCATCGAAATAATAGGAACAAACAGGCTCTCCCTTGCCGTCTTCCCATGTTCCGTTCCACAAAAAGACCCTTTTGGGACCCCTCTGAAAAAGCCACCCAGTCGCCTTGAAGTGGGACACGGAGCAGACAAGCTCGATGAATGCCCGGTGGGTGGTTCATCGCATTCACTTCGGTTGAACAACGCCCCCCCCCCCACCCCTTGCAATCGATGCGAGCTTCAAAGGTTGCGGTCTCTATATATACGTTGTTGTGTCTTTTTTCGAGGGTAATTACCCATGGCAACTACTCTCTTTTTTTTTGCGGTTTTGCAGGGAAACCATTTTTTGTTAAAAAGCACGCACGCACGCACCCACGCACCCACCCACACACACACACACCATTTGCGGGGCTGTCCCTACAAAACAACACCCCTGTGGTGAGGTGCAAGCACCGGGTTCGGCCAAAGCTCCGACCCCCCGGTCATGCTCCTGGCCCCGGCGCGGGTGGAGGCCCTCAACGGCTCGGACCCCCTGCCGCGCGGCTGAAAGCGAGTGGATGTGAGCCAGCTCAACCAAAAGGTTTTTTGTGGGGTAAGGGGATACAAAGTGAATATTGCTCTGGGTACCCAAAATAGAAGCCACGCACATAATCTGACACAAGTTGATATAGGTCATTGCTGGATATGAAAAACGGAGCCTCTCTAAAAGGTTGGGCAGTTTTGGATGCTTCGGGGAATTCAATTGCATCCCAGGTCCCAGAGTTTTCCACCGGGCGGGGGAGGTGTCCAAGATTTATTCCTCCGATAGGCATTGTCACAAAACTTCGCGCAGTTTGGACCGCGTGTTAACTTTTGGGGCGTGTGTTGTTCTTGTTGGGTTTAGCAACGGGCATGCCAATCGCTGGGATCACTGCCTTTTGACTGGATGGGGATGCTAGCGCTTGATGCCTCACTGCAATGGCTCTCCTTTTTGAGAGTTTCGAAGGGAATCCGGGAAGCTTAAGGGAAACGGTGAAGCTGAAGAAACAACTGACTTATTTTGGGCTTTGCTGAGTCACATCGTGAATCGACGGCCTTTGACACCAGAGGCCTGAGGCTTGCCGGGTCCTTTATCTCCCTGCGGGTGCGCAGCTTGCTGGAGAGGCGCATGTGCACGGAGTCCTCAGCGAGGATGAGGAGCCCAAATCAATGATGCCCTCCGAGTTTGGCTGGATACAAAATCTGGTGATGTATCAACCACTACTTAGTTTTGGTTTCATCCATCCCAACTGGTGCAAAACTCGCCTTTTTTCCAGTAGATGTATAGGGATACAACAACAAGAGGTTCACATCCGGGTCCTTCTCATACATTGTGTTGATTTTCATTGGTTTCCCCCAGGTGGGTAAATGGAGCATCATTTGCATCAAGGGTCCCTGATTTCCAGGGCCCAGGGATAGTGGGGGCGGGGGGGGGGGGGAGGGTTGGGGGGGCTGCCGGAGCCGAAGATCTCAGAGACGATCTGAGAGCCCAACATCATTGGTTCATATTGCAACAGTTTTTCGAGCCAATCCCGTGTTGTTGTCATTTTTTCTTCGTTTTGCCGGCGGAGGGGGGGGGTGGGCAGTTTTGTTTGTATTGGTTCGGCGGTTCGTTTTTGCCGCAACAAAACCATCCGCAGGACGCGCTGCTGCCGGTCTTCTCGGCCACGGCGCCGGACCAGGAGTTCGCGGCACCCCCAAACCCGATCCTCGGAGTCAGATGGGGGGCCTTTGTTCTTTCGAGCACCTGTCAAAGGATGGTTCAAAGGGAAGCCAAGAAGAATCCACGTTTTTCTTTGAGTCCCCCTATTTTGACATCGTTCTCCAAATGAAAGCCCCCAAAAACATGACACGCGTGGATTCTTGTCGGTTGCATGGCCATTTGTTGTTATTTGTCATCCCTGCACAAGTGCCGCGATGGACTTTGTGAAATTGAACTCCTCTCTTATTTTTCCTGGCGCAGATGCTCTTTTTTTTTAAGTTGTGACCCCCCCCAAAAAAAACATGGTCGGTTTTCAACTTGTAGTTTCCCTTCAAAACCACAAACAGAGGGGTACAAACTCCAAACAGATGCGCAGACCCCTGGGTTTTCCTGCTGGTTTCCCTTTGAGACCCATGGGATTCAACTCCGAAGAAGCGCAGAGAGATAGACGTCTTCTCGACATGTACTTTTTCCAGAGTGCGGGCCTGAGACTGCCAAGAATCGAAGGGCTTTTGGAACCAAGTGCACCCTCAACTCGCCCTTTCTGAGGTCATTGAGTCAGAGTTTGGGGTTTGGAAAATGTTAGACAAAAAGTTGAAATTACTTTTGATTTATTTATTTCGGCCAGTCCACTCAGGAAGTGAGTCGAAGTACCCATCAAACATTATGGGGCTTCAGACGCTGAGTTGAGGGCGTCCAGGGTAGAATTTCCTTATAGTCAATTTGGTGGGTCCCAGCCACCCCCTGAGTTTTTCGCTTTTAATCTGCTCAGTGTTTATTGGGCATTTCTATTCAACCCACCAGTTCAGCTAGCGGAAAATCCGACCTGGCAAGACTTTCGGGAGGACTTCGCGCCGGGCACCGCCAAGTCCCGGCGGTACTTCTTCGACGCGGTGCCGGCGCGGATCGGATCGCCGGATGTTGTGGCGCGATCGGTAGGGAATGGCAACTCCGGGTGTTGAATGAACCGAATGGGGGATTCCCTTCAAGGAAGCCACCAGGGATTTATGTTTTTTGTTGGCAGTCCCTGAGAACCAGGACAAGTTGTGGGCGATGCACTCAATTAGTGGCCTAAAATGGTCAGGGTGTCCTTCGCTTTCCCCTCACATACCAAAAGGGCTCCGAAATCCATTTTGAGAAACTCCCAAGTGGTTGCGCCTCGTTGGTGTGGAAAACCCTTGGCTCTAGAGTAGGCATTTCAAGGAACAGACCGTCAGGTTGCCAAAGCCTTCGTTTGGAGATGGCGGAATGGAGGTGGTTAGCTCTACCATAGCCATGCCGGGGGCAGGTGAACCGTATTTGGCGGGGTTTAGTTTGACCCTCAACTTTTGCAAATGACTGGAACATGAGTCGACTTCCATCTGGGTGGCTCGTCTTTTCTTGAGTTGGCGCCCCCTTTCTTTGTCTTTTTAACGGGATACTCAAAGAACCAGCCATTTTGGGGGTACCTAAAAACAACAAAGCCAACTAGAAACAACTTGGGCTTCTTGCATGGAAGTTCACTTTTGGTACTCGAGGACCTTTTCGTTAGGATTTTAGCATCCCCATTGTAAGGATATCCTTTGCGGGACGACCATGACCCGCACAGGAGCTTCTTTTCATGATCAAACCATCCCCATGTTTGGGGCCGTACCTGTGCGTTGGATATTCTAGGCAACCACTTCGGCAGATCACATCCAGTTGGATCCAAATGGCCAGCTTCATTTGGTTTCCTCATGAATGTGACATCCAACTTCGGAGGCGATGCTTAGGTTTAGGGGATTTCCACCTCCGAGACAAGGTCCAAGGTCCCATCGGAGAGTTTGAAGGCCAAGTTCGACCTGTGCTGTGGGGTGGTCAACATTTTCTTCGGCCCCAAAATGATCCAAGCGCTAAGGTTTCCCATGTGAAAGTCGCATCTGTTTTGTTTTTTGTTTCCCTGATCATCGGACGTGGTGATCGACCCCCATGTGCTATGTGTTTTAGACTTTGAGGAAGTCTGACGCAGACTTTGAGCAAGTCTGACCTTCAAGCCCCCCCAAAAGACTGTAGTCAGGCTCCCCAAAATCCATGGTGGGCGTGTCTTTTTTGGAGTTGGTGCCCTGTTTTGGTGGTTTTCAAGGGAAACCGCGATGAAAACCACGGTTTTGGGAGATCCGATTCTGAAAGAACCACACACAGACCCTGTCAGACCTCCAACCAAAAGCTGAAAGAAGTGACGAGGAGCTTCCAACGGATGTCGCCTTCAAGAAGAAGTACGTCCTCTCCATTTACTTCTTATCTCCTGACAGCTTTTGTGCCGGGCCCAACGAGACCCAGCTGAGCCCTGAGCGCCTCGGAGTCTTTGGGTTTTGGCCTGAATTGGGGTGGTTCCTCGATGGGGACACGCCCTCTAGAAGGAAACCCATGGCAATTCTGGCATTTGCGCCAACCATGTTTTTCCTTCTTGGGGGGATTGGGCGCAACAGGGAACCACTGACTTTTCTTTTTTGTTATTTTAGAGGGGCCCCCGTAGTCACCCCGGTTTTTGTCGGAAACACTCAGAAAGGTCGATTGGTTGCAGATGCGTTTTTTTGACCTCGGCTTCGTTTCCCAAGGATGGTGAAGGCAGATATTGCCCCGCAGCATGTCTATGTCGAGGATGGCACCCACCAGACTCGAGAGGCGGCGTTTAAGCATTATCACTTCACCATGTTCTGCGGCTCAGTTGCAAAGCGAATCAGTACCAATTGGACCTTTGACGCGTTTGGTTTCCCCGTGTTTCAAGGGCTTTTGGTACTTACCTTGCCAGCTAACCCACTACAGTTCTTATATAAGGCTATGTACCATGTTCTTGGGCCCAAAAAAGGGTGATATGTGATCATTTTTGTTTTGATTTCCAGGGTCTTGCAAGCGAGGCGGGGATTTCTCGAAAGAGCCATTTCCGCCCTTGGCCTTGATCTACTCATTGGCCTATGTGGCACATGCGACTTGGCCTACGTGGTACGGTGCGTTGCGATGAGATGGCCGAAATGGTGGCAGGGTTGCTTCAGGGGGAGCGAAAGTGCTTGGTGGGACAGATTAGGCCAGGTGTGCTTGTCTTTCGCGTTTGCATCTGACAGCCTTTTTGAGAATCAAGCCCTGATGGGCACCGGGTGACTGGCTTTGAGAGTTGAATCGTGTGATGGGATCAAGGCAATGGTGCCCGAGTTCCTTCACTGGAAGGGGAGCAGGCCAGGGTTGCGACGGCTGTCCTCGGGTCAAAGAGGGCAACGGGAAACAAGGCAACATGAGAAGCCACCCAGCATTTTTCCGAAGAAAACTGTTGTCAGACCAAAACATCAGCTGCATTTACCAAATTCCCAGAACAAAATAACACATTATTGTGTTTTTCCCTTTTCCCCAGCTGAGGTGTGGTTCAAAGCCATGGGGGTTTTCTGGGCAGGATGTTCTTCCACCTGCCGGATGCTTCTCAGGGAGTTCGCTCCACCCGGATCCTGGGGCTGGAGGCCTCCCTGCGCGATGTCGATGCATGCGATGGGTTCCATGGGCCTTTACTCCTATTGGGTTGGATCTTTAGACTTCCACTTTTTGGATTCCCCTGCTATTTCCTGAACCAGCAAGAAGTTTAACTTTTTGCTGAATAAATCTACAGCCAAGGGGCAGGGAATGAGAAAATTGGAACCTCGAGAGCACTCTGGGTGAATTAAAACGACCTCACACGACCGAATTCACCCCAAATGGTGGTTTATGTGGGGAATAACCCCCCAACCACCTTTTTGCAGGTTGGTGAAATATTATAATTCACTCAGAACAATCCCTGATTTGGATTTCTGTTTTTTGGGAATCCTCTTAGGGTTCATTCCCAAATCCTCTTTCTCTCCTGCGATAGGCAGGGAATGACCACGAGCCCGGGTTTTTGGGCATGAACCGAAAACGAGGGGATTGTCTTGGGGTCATTCCGACTTGTTCTCAGAGCACCAGCAAGTTTTGCAGGGGAATCGCCAACATGTTTTTTCGTGTGCAACTTGTGGTTTCCCTTTAAAACGTCCAAAAGAGAGGTACCCTCAAAACAGATGAGCCACCCATACTGCGGAGGGTTGCAAAATATGTTTTTCGTCATTATCGTCCGTACGCCCTAGGGAATTATTCGATTTCCCTGCCAAAACCATGCTTGCAAAATGGATCTTGTTCATCCACAGTAGGTGAATTAGTTTGGATAGAAACAGATGGGTTCCATGGCTTAGAAAGGTTTTATGGCCTGTTTACCAGGAGAATCCAGCTATAATCCAAAAGAACCTTGCTGTGAGGCATTGCGATAGTAGCTGCATACAGGCCCCACGGCGGCCCGCCCTGGCCCAACGAAGGCTTGGGCTCCCAATTTGTGAGACGCCCACATGGAAAGCGAGTCGGTCTGTTTTTGGGAGCCAGCGGGTACCGGGTTTAGTCTTGCCCATTTGCCAGGATTCCATGTTGGGCAAATTTTTGTTTTGTAGCCGCACCCACATTAGGCCCAGCTTGACGTTGGTGTAATCAGACACCAAGATTTCAAAAGGGGTGGTTGGCCCGCCCCTGCTTCTCAGCCGGAAATAGAGGTAGCCCTAGCCCAAATGGGTCCGTCTCTTTTGGAGGGTACCCCTTTGTTTGGTGGTTTAAAGGAGAACTACAAGGTCAACCAACATTTCGGAGGGTCCCCCCTAAAAAAGACACCCGACTGTGATGTCTTGCATTTGGCACTGAGGACGCAAGGAACAAATGGAGTTCCGCCCGGCGATTTGCCGCGCACAATGCTTCGATGTTCTGAGTTCCTTCTGAGTGGTTTCCCCTGCGCACACCAGGAAACATCGGGACGTCATGTTGAACCAAGCTTGTCTTTTGGGTTTTTGCCACAATTTGCCAGGAAAAAACAACCCACAAGATGTCCAGTCCGCAATGGAAGCCCAAGCGCATTGAGTCGCCCACCCACTTCCGCCCGAAAAGCTCGCGAAGGCGTACCTCCAGAGCTTGATGACGTCGCCGTCCAAGGAGAAAGTCATGGAGTTCAAGGAGACCTTCACTTTGCTCTGCCAGGCCCAGCCCCCGACTCCGTTTCCATAGAACCAGTTGTGCTAGGGGTTGATTCCTCGTCCATTCTTTTTAACCATCGTTCTTTTCAACAACCGGATCTGTTTCCTTTTTTTTTAATGGTTTCCTGAAAAGAAGGATGTCTGGAAAGAATGGGGAAGGTCCCCCTAGAGTTGTAAAAGCTGAAGAGACTTCCCAAGGCCCAGATCAAAAGGCGGCGCTGATTTGTTGGGTTCTTTGGGCAGCACACAGCGCCACTCCACCCGGTCGGGGTGGGTTTGCCAAAGAAGCCATTCCCTTGATTGGGTTTCTTCCAACAAACCAAGGCGCCATTCGCTCCATCAAGGAAGAAGGGCAGAAAGCATTCAAAGAAACCATTCGTGGAATCCATTTTCAAGAAGCCATTCACCAAAGAAACCATTCACATGGAAAAAAAGAAGCCATCGATTTGATTCCCGCCAGTGGCCTAGCCAAGTCCCTTGGGCCCCATCTCCCTGGCCCACGCGACATGCAGGTCAGGGGCGTCAACTGCGTTTAGGTCGCGAATGGATGTGGTGTGGGCACCCTTGGGGTTGCTTGAAAGGAAACAAACCGGCCATTAGGGTCCGATTTCTATCCGACACTCCGTCCATGGCTCAAATGGATGTGTCTTTTGTGAGGGGACCCCCATCACAAGCGGTTTTCCTTTCGGTTTCCCCTCAAAACCCACCAAAAGAGGGATCCCCAAAAGTTTCGACACCCACTTCAGCCAAGGAAAACACAACTTCAGCCAAGGAAAACACAGCCAAGCCAACACGATCTACCCAAACGCACTAGCACAGCAAAGTTCCAAAAAATGAAGGTAAAAAACCCTGAAACTGCGACCAGACACAAAAACCCAAAGAGCCAACCCAAACAGCCAGCTAAGCCATAACAGAATCTTCTTTCTTTTTTTGGGGGGGGTCCGGAAAAACAAAATAAAAAGAAAAGAAAACAAACAATAAACAAAAATAAGCAAGAAACAAAGAAAGAAAAACAAGCACGACACGAGCCCAGACAGCCGCAGGTGCTCTTCCGGTACCGCTACGCGGAGCCCGCGCCCAGGCGCGCGCAGGTGGCGGCCTGCGGTCTCTGCGACGCCAAAGCGCGGGAGGAGCGGCGGGCGATTGCGCGCGGGGACGAGGCGGGAGAAGAACAACGGCAAAAGGAAAGGAGCCTTTCGCGGGAAAAACGGGTCAAACTCCATGGAGGTCCTGATGTATACGATGTTCTGATTGCCACCGATTTCCTGTGAACATGGTGTCAAAGGAATCACGTTTCAATCCAATGCTTACCCCCGAGAATGAAGGTGTATCCTTGAATGGATCAACTAACATTATGCAGAAGATGTGCAATGCTCAACTACTTTGGAAGCGCAAAAAGAGTCCAAACGATGCAAGAGGTGAGAAGACCGCCCCTCCAAAAATTTACGCGTCCAACTGCATGCCAATTCAAGCACAAACACAAACACACCAGCAGGTAAGCGCATGGTGCGGAAGGAAAAGCAAAGAGGCAAAGGAGCATGCAAAGAAACAACCGACCAGACAAAGAAGCAAGCAAGAAAGCAAGCAACATACTGCAAATACACAGACGTGCATGCAGCACAACAATACGAAACAGTACAAACCAGGACACTAACAAAGAAGCAAGCTCGCAAACGCTCAACCGCACAAACTCGCAACCACACAACCACTTGATCAAGCAGACAATCAATTAAGCGCAGAACAGGGGAAGGAAAGAGAAGCCAAGCACGCAAGAGGCAAGCAGGCAAAAAATAATAGTAAACAGTTGACACACACACAGACATGAACACAAACACACCAAAACACAAACACACACACACACAAGCACGCACACAAGAACCAACGGACACACAAACAAGCAAGCAAATGAGCAAACAACAACAGGACTAAACAAGCCAAGAAATCAAGCAAGCAAGCAAGCCAGCCAGCAAGCAAGCAAGCAAGCAATCAAGCAATCAAGCAATCAATCAATCAAGCAAACAAGCAAGCAAACAAACAGACAAACAACACACAGCTAGCAAGCGACCGATGAAACAAACCGACATACATACACGCATGCATACATTCATTCATGCATGCATGCATGCATGACCTACATACATACATACATACATACATACCTACATGCAATCAAGCTACACAAAAGTGCAATGGAGCGAGCGAAAAAGTAAGCAAGCAAGCTGGCAATCCAGCAATCAAGCAAAGAAACCCAAGCAAACGATGGGAGGACGGACGAGCGAACCAGTCGCGCAACAAATACAGCAAGCAGGCAAGGAAACAAGCAATAAGGCAAAGCATCTTCAGCATTCAACATAAGCACCCACGCGCACACACACACACGAGTCAACAAGCAGCCACGCAATATGAGCAAACAAGCAAAGCAGCAAGCACACGCTCACACACAATTAGACAAGCAACCGACCAAGCAACCACACAACATACGCAATACGAACCACTACGTCAAGCAAACAACACAGAGACACATCAAATGAACGTAATAAAGCAAGATGAGGCAAACAAAGCAGCACCAACACATAAACACCGATAAACAAAACGAAGCAAACACTCAAGCTGTTCTTTTTCAATTGCAAGCTGGGTTTTCGAGTGGTTAATGAAATTGAATATCCTGAAACACAATTGGGCATGACTACTCACGTAAACGCATTCAATTTCATACAGTATTTTTGCATGAGAGTACCCCTATTTCTGCAGTTTTTGAAGGCAACCCACAAGGAAAGGTACTATTTGGCGGGTCCCCCTATTTTGACACCCATATACGGACGTGTTCTTTTTGTGAAGGAACCTCGTTGTGTGGCAGAGGGAAACCCAGTCGGACCGCCCAATCCCTGGGAGGCCGTGGCCGTGGTCTTCTGTGTCATGAGCCGACGCAGTGCCCATGAGCTTCGCCAGGCAAGCGGGAGAGCTCACTTGGTGAGTGGTTGGCAAAGGGAGTTTCAACCTGGGATTTGGATCGATATTTTTAGGCGGTTGACATGTCAACCAAGTATTTGGGCTTTTGGGTGTTCTGTTTTCGGCTTGGGCTTTCTGATGAACCTTTGGGCTTTCCCGCTCAGATTCTTTCCCCACTTCCAACAGTAAACGTCGCCGTCGGCTCGAGCCCGCCGGTTTCGCCCGCCTATTTGCCGCCATGGCCATGGACGCCGAAGCCATGGCTAAGCTGCGCCCGAGCACCGCCGCTACTGTGGCGGAGGAGAGGTCTATGGCTGACCCCGGATTCCCCCGTTGTTGCGAAATCCGCTTCGCACCACTTTGAAACCATGTTTGAAACCCTTGGTAGTTGGTAGTTTGCAGGGGAATCATCATTCCAGAGTTTCTTAGCTGGTGCGGAATTTCGTCCATCGACAGTACTCTTCGGGGCTTCCCTCCAAAAGTGGTCTGAATCCCGCAAAAAAAAGGGCACCCCCCTATTGGTCAACCAGGGGTTTATCAAGTTGGGGTCAACATGAAGCGGAATCCCCGGTTCCAGGTGGTATTCCCAACACCTTGGGTGTCAAATCAGCCGCCGTTCCCGTGTTCCGACTTGGGTTCTCAAAATCAGGTGACCCTGAAAAAATAGGGTACCGCTCTTAAAAGTATCTGAAGTCCACCCTTTCAGCAGAAATACGGCCAAATAACTATCGGGCTGGCAACCGACCCATGATTGAAAAAAAGTCGGGGGCACTCCAGGTCCGCTCAGCCAGCCGCGCCCCATCCCGTTCCATGGACACTTGGAGGAACTATATTTTCAGCCAAGAACCCCTAAAAATAAAAATGATAATGAGAATGATGATAATGATTCATGATGATGATGATAATCATTATAATAATCATAAACTAAATGAAGGAGCTTCCAAAAAAGACCCGACTTCGCTGTCCATCATATCCCCCCCCCCCCCCGATTCGCCGATGGCGTGCGGAGGAGGAGGCGAACCAGGCGGCGGACCTGGCGGCGGCTCGGGAGGTGGCCATCGAGCAGAGTTTGCTGCGGGGCCAGCGCCGGGGCGCCGCTGAGGCGGTGCCCGGGAAGGCGCGGTGGGCAGGGCCAAAGGGCCGAAGGTGGGCTGTGGATTGGTGGCTTGGGGATGTGTTCCCGTTCTTGAAGAGAAACCAATCGTCCAAACCACCAATGGGAAGTGGGGAGTCCCTAACGTCCAAACCACCAAACCAAACCACCAATCAGTGGGAAGCTGAGTATTCATGGTTGGTGGTGGGAAACATTTTACAGATTTTTGCTTATTGTGGTTGAGTGGTTGAAATCCAAGCACTGAACTGCTGAAATTTAAATTGTTGCTCCCCTTCCAACGTAAACCAAGATGGGGCTGGGGGGGTTTTGGGGCAGTTCAGGGTTTTGGGCGGATGGGCGTGTCTTCTGTAGTGAATCCTTTTGAGGGCTTTGAGTTTCGGGCGGATGTGTCTTAGGTTGGACCCCCCGCAAATGTTGAGGCTTCAAAATTATGGATTCGCTGCTTTTTGAGGCGAAACCAGCCAGCCGCCATGTTAGAGTGTCCAAATCTCTGGTATTTTCTCAGTTCCTTCGACTGAAATCCTGGGGATCTTTGACCCTTAATAGGGGGTCCACCATGGGGGTTCAGGTGCCGGTCATTGACCTCTCCGCCTCGAACGCGGCAGAGGAGATGTGTCGTGCCGCCCAGGAGCCGACGGCTTCAGCCGAATGCTTTCGGCGTATCCCAGTGTTGCTGGCTGCCCTCCCACCCAATGAATCTTGGTGGCTCCCAGCGGTTCCTTAGCTTTTTGGATTTTTAGTGCTTATAGGTGTTCCATTTAGCCCACTAAAAGTTGAAGCCGTTGTGGCTCAGGACCTCCCCGTGGTAACGGCGGGTTTGGCTGACATGAGCATTCACGCCCTCGTCACCTTTCAGCCATGGTGCCTTGCTGCGCCCCTCTCTTTGGGGGGCTCCGTTTGGCTTCTCTGGTCTCTTCTTGGCCCGGCTTCATTGTCTTCCACCTCTTGGACCTCCCCTTCATTACGGCGTGCTCACCGTGCACTCTCTTTTGCCGCTTCGTGCTGTCTTCCGGGTGGCTGGAGTCATGGCTGTGCCTTCCTGGCATCACAAGGCGTGCCTACCTGCATCGTGACCTCCCTTGACATCTCGTGCGACGCTGTGGATGGTTATTGCTTGAACCATGATGCCTGCAAGGCTCAACTCGGATGTGACCCCGCTTGCAACCTGCCCCGTGTGGCTTCCCAAGGTGGCGTTCGAACTCCTGAAGCGTGGTGCCTCTGTCATGTGCAGTTGCCCATCTACGCAGTGGGTGAAACGAACATCCGGTTTTACCTTGTCCGCAGCAGTATGTAGGACTTTTACAGTGGGCCCTGTAGCTTTGCCCAGGGCTTTGTTTTGTTCAACGTCCTCCGTGGGGGTTCTGGCAGTGGAGCTATTCATGCACTGCCCTTATTTATTCTGGAGAGCTGGTCCTTGCAGATACTCCAGGTGTGCCGTTACCCGATGTCGCTGGCTACAAATGTTTTTACAGTGGATCGCTGCAGCTTGGGGTCTTCAGAGCTGCCAACTCGAGCCTATACCTGGTCCGCAGCGGCGTGTGTTGGACTTTTTCCCTGGGACTCCGTTCGGTTATCCCTTTATCCCATCATTGCCTTTGCCGCTAGCCCGGCTACAGCTGTGTGGTAGACTGGCTTCGTCCGTCCAACTTTGAAGCTGCTGTTTTTTGCCAAGGTTTGACGGGGAGTGGACAATCCACTGCCTCGAAATTCACTTTTCAATTATTTCGGTCCTTCCGGAACTTGCCCTCAGCCTTGACTCCGTCTGGCTGTTTCCCTTCTAGGATCCCCTTTTCTGCCTTTGTCCTCTTCGGGCTTTTGACCTTTCCATGTGCCTGTTCCTCCAGTGTGAGGAACAGCCATTGTTGTTTGGCTTCGGCCTCCCTGACCTTTCAAGCCACAGCGCTTGGGGTTTGATCTTCGCTTACCATTACAGCCTCACCCGTTCGGGGTTCGGGGTCTTTGACCACCGGCCACGTAACGACTCATCGCGATACAGGGCACTAAAAGTTGAACTTTAGCGGGGGATCTGAGGACAGCTCGGTAACATGAAGGCCTACCCTGACGTTCAGGGGCCCTTTAAATGGAGAATGGTCCCCGAACGTCGGCTTCCACGTGAAACGGGTGGAGCCCTACGCTCCTGTCAAACGCCGCGGAACCCGACGTTTCGGGGTCCAAGACGATTTTCCTTTGAACGGGACCAGCAGGGTGCCACTGCCCTTCGTCCCACGTTGCCATGGCACCTGACAGGGGCTCCAGTGAAGGATCTTCCACATACCCGACAGATGCTAAGTCCGAGGGTGTGTTGGTGTGTTCTGGGCGAGCTCGCTGAGGTACCACCCGGAGCAAAATGCAAGATAAAGCTCGTTGCCTTGTTGGATGGTTCCCTTTTGTTCGCCAACAGCGGCAGCTATGGGGCAAAGTCACTAATCCCAGGTTTGGGGGAATATTGGGGGCAGGTACCGGGGAGGTTCCGGGGCTGAAGAGTGGCCAACTTATTTCAGGGAATAACTATTGCGACCATACTTATAAGGAAGCCAGCTGTGTCTGGCTTGTCGCGCCTACTTGTAGCCCATGGATGAACATTCAAATGGTTTCCCACCAAACCCCGGACTTCTTGGAGTGCGCGCGTATGTCAAAAGCACGGATTCCTTAAGGGAAAACCTCAGGGAGACCTCAGGAAAACACGGTATTTTCCGGGTTCTCGGACTTAGTGGTTGAGCTTTGAAGTTGATAGGCTGGACATACGTAAGCTCGACTGCCTACGTTCAGGGGCCTTCACAACCAGCGACTGAATCCTCCAGCTGGTGTCTTAGATCCCTAGGAAGCGTCTTCTGAAATCGGGTTCCCCGATGTCCAGGAGTTCGGTTTCTTCGTGGTGAGAAACCACGGGTTGCCGGAGGAGGCCATCGATGAAGCTTTTGGGCTCTCCAAAAAGTTCTTCAGCCAAAGCAAGGACTTGGATTCTCCAAGCTGAAGCACTCATGTGGGTCAAAATTGTCAAAATTGGATATGGACCGCAGGTTTTAGTCGTTACCCTATCTTTGACCCACACCCGCATGGGAACCCGGATCTACGTCAACCCCTGGTTCAGGGATTCCCTTCGCTTTTTGTTTCCCGGGTTCTGTCTGAAACCTACCCATCTTGTCCCAAGAGGCTAGGGGCAAAACGAGTTCGCAAGAATCTGGGAAGCACCCGAAACCCCGTGCTTTCCAACCCCAAGACAGGAGTTTTCGACTACCCCATCCGCTAACACGGAGCCTGACGTTTCGGGGTCCTCGAAAACGATTTCCTTTGAAAGGGACCCTCTGGTGGGTTCCAGGTTGGTGGACACGAGGGTACTGCTTGGTGAGCCATTGTTGTCTTTTCTCGGCTTAGTGGCAACCTCGAAATGGTCAGCAAGAAAACCAAGAAATGGTGTCCACTTCATGGTCAAGCCCTGTTAAACCAAGAAATGGGATGCCCTTGAAATGGCCAACCCCTGTTTTCCCGTGAGGGTGGTCAACTACTTGGCAACCTTCGCAACCAAGAAATGTCCATGGGTCAAAGTCCCGTACCCCCAGTGAACATCCCAATCCAACCACTAAAATAGGTTGTAAAATGGGTGGTGAATTCACCTACCCCAAAATGGGATCCCATTGGTTTTGACTCAAAGCCAAATGGCTTCCTAACACCCCTACTCGTGCCGCTCGCCGCCTGCAACGGAGGAGGAGAAGCAGGCGCAGTGCCCCTATGCGCGTCACCTGAATTCGGGCTTGGAGTACTTCTCTCAGGTTAGGCCCTCCACTGGCACTCCGGATCAGAAGGACGGGGGGGTCGAAAAATGCGCGTGCGTAAGACTTTTGGCACCCCAAACCTTCCATTTGCTTAAAACAATACGTGTTATACA